TACTATGTTCATCTTGCCCTTCTTTGGTCGCTCTGTTCACAGGTCAATCCTTCTGCGAAGGCTCTGTAGTCTGATGGGCACTGTCTTCTTGCTTCGCTGCTTTACCATGTTTGTGACCTCCCTCTCCGTGCCAGGACAGCACCTGCAGTGCACTGGAAAGGTAGCCTGCTACCTTCTTTATCAATCACTCTTCCTCTTGTCCTTATTTAGTTGATTGCACAGTACATGCAATAGGGCTCATTTGGCCTTCACTGTAGAGATGTGCTTCTTGGTTTTTGTAATACCTAAAATAAACCTCTACAAATAACTTAGTAATAATTTTTCTTAAGACAGGCTCTTGTCTTCCTGTTATTTGTTAATCATTGGTATTAGTTCTGTGCTGTGGAGCTATAGTTTTCAAGCTATAGAAAAGTTTTTCTTTCAGTTAACTTTTTCCCCAACAATTTCCCTTTCTTGCCATCCTGAGCATCTTCAGGCCCTCGTTTGTCATGGTCTGGTTCCTGCATTGTCCTCATCACTCCTTTTTAAGAATTGCTGCAGTTTGAGCATGTCCCATAGAATGGAGCACCCGGAACTCTACAGTCTTTCTGGGATATACAAAATAATGGTGGAGTTTTTGTTTTTATTTTACGTTGTTGTTCTTGTTTTTATTTTTGTAGCTTCTTTTTATTTTATCTATCTATCTATTTATTTATTTTTGGTACCAGGGATCAAACTCGGAATCTTGTGCTTGCGAGGCAGATGGCAGAACCACTGAGCTAAATCCCTGGACCTTGTAGCTTGTTTTGGTATATAGTAGACACATCTCTTCTGGTTAAACTGAGAGAAAAGAAAAATTACACTGATAGGAACAAAAAAAAGTTACTTTTTAAAAAAATATTTTGAAACTTTAAAAAGTCACCTATATTCGATATATAAACTTGATTGTTGGGCCTGATGAAATTTGGAGAAAAGAATTTATTATCCTACTTTTCTAAGCCTTCATGTATTAGATCTATATGTCCAAATACTCAGATTTGATCAGAGGCTCACGATCTGTCTTTGAGGAGCTGACAAAAGCTTTGGGGCTTAATGGGAAAGGGAGCAAAGGAAGGTTGGCGTCGCTGGCAACATGGGCACTCCTGGTCAGGGTGTGGTCTGGTTATCGGATTGGTGATTCAGGACTGGTTCTGCAAAGTTCTCAGAGAACCATCATCCCTGTCAGTAATGAGATGACAGCTCCTGCTAGTGGGCAGTGGGGTGGGGGACACTTTTGGTTCCTGTTGTGGCATAATTTCTCTTACTCTCAGGGCATGACCTCATCGTGGGGCTCTGAGAGGCTCTGCTTTTTTGGAACCCAAGGTGACTGCAGGTTTAGAACAATGACTGGAAATTTTTAGGAACTGGACATTGTAAAAAGTTGGCAATTGGATTTCCCTACAAATCCTGAAAATAACTTGCTTATATCTTGGTGTCCTCAGTCTTAAAGGGGGATGAGATAGGCTAGGTCAGTGATGACAAAATTTAGAGATCAGTGCCCAAACTGCAACCTGAAGAAACCCACTTATTTATCAGCAAGTGCCAACAGTGCGGTTAAACCTTGGGATCTGATGTTTGGCTCCTGGGGTGACTTGGCTTGTGTGCCAGAACAGAGAGTTCTGTGTGTCATAGGTTTGCCACCACTGGGCTAGGTAAATTTAGGGCTAATGAACCTTGTAATTCAGAGACTCCTCCAGAGTCTAACATGTCTATATGAAGACCTAAGCATGGGTGGGGCTGCTGCCTGCCTCGCAAGCACACAACGTCCCGAGTTCAATCCCCAGTACCAAAAAGTAAACAGACAAACAAAAAAAAGAGCTAAGCAGATCTCTGAAACAAAGTTGTAAGATCATGAGACAGATTTAAAAAAAAAAGTTAAGGCAGATGCCAAGCTCATCCTGCTTTTAGTTACCAATAGGGCAACTGCTGGCCCTGCACCTAGGTCCCTGTTACAACACTCTTTCTTGTTTTGTTTTGTTCTGTTCTGTTTTGAGACAGGGTTTCACTATGTAGTTCAGACTGCCCTTGAACTCACTGTGTAGCCCAGTCTGGTCTTGGACCCACAGCGATCCTCCTGCCTTAGCATCCCGAGTGCCGGGATTATAGGCGTGCACCACCACACTCCTGCATTGTCTTGTTTTGTTTTTTGTTTTTGAGATAGGGTCTTTCTGTGTAGCCCAGGCTGGCCTTGAACTCCTAGCAATCCTCCTGCCTCAGCCTCGTGAGTGCTAGGACTATAGATTTGTGCCACCATACCTGCCTACAGCACTATTTCTGAGCAGCATTCTTATGTACTTATAGAATGAAAGGATTATATTACAGATTCCATTTTTTATCTTTTTTGGGGGGGTGGGGGGGATACGGGGATCAAGCTCAGGACCTTACGCTTTCCAGGCAGGTGCAGCCCCACTGAGCTACATCCTCCCTGGCCCCTTTATCTTATTTTTTTAATTTGTTGATAAAATATATAGCTATACTCATCTTCTTAACAGTTGCATGATATTCTAGTATGTGGTTTTCCAGCCTCCAAATGATACACATTTTAGTTGTTTCCAAATTTTATTATTTATAAACAGTGCTGTATTTATGTGTTTATAATTTTTTTCTTTTTTATTAGAATATATTTGTATAACATTGAGTACATTTATCATGGGGAGTTTGTATATGTACATACACCTCTCCTCTCCCTATCTCTTAGATTCTCTTCCCGTCTGCATATTGTCTAGCTCCTTGTTTCCTATTATCTTTTATTTTGCCCTTTAAATTATTTATACTTTGGGTTTCTCATATAAAAGAAGACATGTGATGTTTAACCTGTGTCTGATTTATTTTGCTTAGCATTATGATCTCAAGGTGCATACCCACCCACCCCTTTTTTTTACAAATGACTCAAATTTATCCTCATGACTGAGTAGTACTCCATTGAGTATGTGTACCATTTTTTAAATCCATTCTTCTGTTGGACATAGTAGGTCAAATCCAAGAATTAGCTATTGTGAATTTGCTGCTATAAACATGAATATGTGTGTGTCACGGTGACATAATGCTTCCACTGTCATTTTACTCTGGGAACTTTTTTTTTTTACTCCTTTCCTGATGCATTGTGGGATCCATTGATTTTCTAATAATCTATTGTTTAAGCTCCATGTGTTCATGTAATTTCTGTGGTTTCTTTTGCTGTTGATTTCTAGCTTCATTCCACTAGGATCCTATAATGTGCTCTTGATTAGTTCAGTTCTTGTATTTATTTAAGCATGTTTTATGGCCCAAGATAAGATCTGTTTTGGAAAAAGTTCCATGTGCCGCTGAGAAAAATGTATATTCTGTTGTTGTTAGATAAAACACTCTGTAGATCTTCACTCAGTCCATTTGTTCAGTGATGGTTTAATTCTGGTATTTATATTATTTATTTTTCTGGTTGAGTTGTCTAATTGAGAGTGGGATGTTGATGTATGATTGTTTTGGGGTCTGTCTGTTATTTTATGTCCAATAATTTTTGTTTTGTGAAGTTGAGTGCACTGGCATTTGGTGCATAGATTTTTATAATGGTTACCTCTTCCTGTTGAATTGTTCCTTTGCTACTATGTAGTGACCATCTGTGTCATTTCTGATCAGTTTTGTCTTGAAGCCTGTTGTGTCTGAAAAGGAGATAGGTCCTCTTGCTTGCTTTTGAGCTCCTGTTGGTTGTTTTTTGTTTTTTTGTTTTTTTTTAGACAGGGTCTCACTACGTAGTTGAGACTGACCTGGAACTCACTATGTAGCCCAGGCTGGTCTCGAACTCACAGTGATCCTCCTGCCTCAGCCTCCCAAGTGCTAGAATTACAGACATGCACAACCATGCCCGGCTGAGCTCCTGTTGCGTGGAGTATCATTTTCCATTCTTTCAGCCTTAGTTCTGCACTTACTTTTGGATGAGATGTGTCTCCTATAAACAACATACATTTCATTTTTAATCCGTTCTGCCAATCTGTCTTTTGACTGGGGAGTTAAGAACGTTGATATTGAGAGTTGTTATTGCAAGGTGCTTGTTGAATCCTGTCATTACATTAATTTTCCAGCACTGATTCCTTTGTTTTATTTCGTTTTTCCTTTTGTTAGATGTGTGCTTTCCTTTGGGCTCTTTGGTGCTAGTGGCCTCCTCATTATCTCAGTCTAGAATTCCCTCGAGTTTTCTGTAATGCTGGTTTAGTGACTATGTATTTAGTTAGCGTTTGTCATGGAAAGTTTTACTTAGTTTTGAAAGCTGATTTTTCAGGATATAGAAATCTGAGTTGGCATTTATTTTCTTTCAGGGCTTGAAAACTTTTGCTTCAGGCTTTCTTCTTGGCCTTTAAGGTTTGTGCTGAGAAGACACTAATTCTGATAGACCTGCCTCTCTAAGTGACTTGCTGTGCTCACTTTGGCAGCACACGTGCTATAAGTAACGTACTGCTTTTCTCTAGCAGCTTTTGGTAGTCTCCTTTTTTTTGAATTTCTGGAATTTTGATTATGATGTGTCACTGAGAAATTATTTTCTGATTGTGACAATTGAGGGTTCTATATGCCTCTTGCTTTTGAATATTGAATTATTTTCCTAGACTTGGAGGTTTTCTGCTATGATTTCAGCAGATAAATTTTTTATACCTTTGGAGTTATCTTCTGATTGTTCCTTTATTCCAAAAAGATTGGAATCTTTTGAGGAGGTTGGATTATATTGGGTTATGTAGCAGCTGTTAGAACAAGCTTATCTGGTGTCTTGTCATTTTTAAAGTATCATTGAAATACAGTCTAATACAGCCACCTTATCTTCTGTTTCTGATTTTCTGTCATCATAGTGGTTGAATCTGCTATCTGTGCTTTTTATCGAATTTTTCATATCTTGTATTTCTGCTTGCTTTCTTTTCATAATTTCTAATTCTTTACCAAACTGGTTGTTCATATTTTGTATTGTCTTGTTTAGCCCAATTAGTTTATTGTTTGTGTTCATTGAAGCTCATCATCAAGCATTTATTAATAAAACCCTTTTATCTGTTTAATAAAATTCTCTTTACGCTCACTAAACATGAAATTGCTTGTGTGTCTCTTTTTTGAGCTCTTCAAACATTTTGACTGTTTGGTTTTTTTAGTTCTTTGCCTGTGTTTTCCCCTTCAGTATCCATAAGA